AGGCTGCAAGCCCTCCCCTCAGGCCTGGGTCACAGGGTGGGTTCCGGGTCACCCCCTGGGCCCGTGAAGACACCAGCCTCTGGGCCATGGACGATCAGGAAGGCCCCTCACACGTCCCCACCGGGCAAGCTCGGCCCCTCTGCGGTCAGGGCAGCTGAGGCCCACGGTGTGTGTGGGGGGGGGCGGGGATGTGGGGCGTCTTGGGCAGAACCCAGGCCTCCTGGGTCTGGGAGCGGAGCGGCCCCTGCCCCGTGCTCCAAGCTCCCCGCCCCTGCAGCCTCCGCAGACACTGGCTGAAGCTTCAGAACCTGCCCTGGCCCTCGTCCTCGAGCCCCGGGCTCCCCTCCTCCAGCCCTTGGTGCTGCTCTGGGAGGAGGTGCTGAGTCAGCAGGACCCAGAGCCCTTTGTCCTCCCTCCGGGCCTTGGCACGGCGGCCCCCCTCCTCGCCCGCCTCGTGGGGTGAGAATGAAGGCCCCGCTCTCCACCATCGGGCCATGGGCCAGGGCGGGATGGGGACCCCCAATCCGGAGGCACTGCAGGGCAGGAAGGGGTCCCTCAGCCTCAGGGCTGGGCTGCAGGGTCCTGGGGCTGCAGAGAGGAGCGGGTGCAGGTGCCGGGCCTGTCTCTCCACCAACTCAGTGCCCTGCTTCAGCCCCGTCCACCCCGGGGGAATGACGCCCTGTTCTGGGTCCAAGTGGGGCGCCCAGGCGGGACCCCTCCCGACGTCCACAGCTGGTGGAGGGGCTCTGGGCGCCCTGTTCTGGGTCCCCTCCCGACGTCCACAGCTGGTGGAGGGGCTCTGGGCAGAGCAGGTCAGCTGCCCGGCGGCTGGGGCAAAGCAGACCTCAGGGACCTGCTGCCCAAACGCACAGATGAGCCGGCGCCCCAGGCCCTGCTGGAGGCCCCCGATGGGTACAGACGTGATCAGGACGAGAGCTCGGCTGTCCAGCTGCATCCAGTCGGCAGGGAGGCCCGCAGTGCCCGCGGCTCGGCCGGGTGATTGTGCTCTGGGCTCGCAGGGCCTTCCTGGAGCAGAGGCGGCTGCAGGCCTCGCTGGAATGGAAACCAATCTGATTAGAGAGCAGTCATCACCGTGAGAACCGGGCGGATCCCGGCAGAAGCCGGCTCCGCAGAACACAACACGGGAAACTTTCTGAGGAGATGCCTGAAGGAGGGGCTGGGGGGGGGGGCTCAAAGAGGGAGGGGCCAGACCACCCACACAGCACCCCACGGACTCTGCCGTTACTCCCTGCGTGGCCTTGGCGCGTGCGGAGCTCCTCTGGGCCTCAGCTTTCTCCTCCATAGAATGGGGTCATACAGGTGCCGCCCCCGGGATTTGGGGGCCTGGGCGCCCGTGCACAGCTGGTGCGCGGTGCATAGAGCACAGCTGGCGAATGCGGGCCAGGTGGGCCCTGCTCTGGCGGCAAACACGCAGCAGGTGGTTCTGTACCCGGAATCCAGGAAAGCTGGGTCCGCAGCGCAGCCAATGACTCGAGAGGTAAGGAGGTGGGTGGAGACAAGCCCTGTGAAGGGGAGGACCCTGGGCCACTCTGAACCCAGTCTCCTCTTCTACGAATGGAGCAGCAAATCCCACCTCCAGGCTGCGGGGGGGAGGAGGGTAAAGTCCTCCGTCCTCCATGCGGGGAGCAGGAATGTGGTGAGTCTGGACCCTCAGGCCTCACGGGCACACACAGGTTGGCTCTGCTCTCTGCTGCCTCCTCCCCCTGGTCCCTCCGGCAGAGCCTGGACCGGGCCCTGGGGTGGGGAGGGCTCTCTGGCCTGGCACCCTGCGAGAAGCCGAGTTGCTGTCCCCGGCTCTGCGTCCAGGGCCCAGGGTGGGAGTGTGGGGGGCCCCCAGGCACCACGATGATGCGTGGGGCACCCTGGCCGTCTCGGGTGCGGGAGGCAGCAGAGGGTCTGTGGAGCTGTGGGCTGCGGTCAGGGGTCAAGGAAAGGCTTCCTGCGAGGGCCCGAGTGGGCACTGAAGGACGCCTGGGCAAGGACGGGCCCGGAGCCAGCACCACTCTGCCCT